CGTGGCGCGGTGTGGCAGGTGTGTGTCGCCGGTGCTGAAGAGGAATCGTGAGACCATCGACCACACCTTGGAGGAGAAGACCGACCGATCCATCGAATCCGGAATTTCCGTGGGTTAGCTGTGAGCTGTTGCGGTCGTGGAAAAGGGGGTTGAGTGGGTCTCCGACCAACAAGTCTTCTTGGGCCATGGAAAGAAAAGACGAAATCCAATGGCGGTGATCTTTTTGGTCTTGTAATTCCCAAGCCTACTGCACAGCTCTGCCTTTTCTTAGACCTTTCTCTGGCGAGGATACCGGCAAGCGGCTGCGGAAGAGCGTGAGCAACGTCGCCAGTAGTGTTTCTGGGCTCAGAGGATGTGCCCAGTCGAAGACGGTTCGCATCATTTCGGCTCTCCGCTTGGATTTTGCACACCGGTCAGACCTCGACCTCGGCTGAGGCGGTGGATGCCGGCTTCGGAGTCGGCAAGCAGGGTGTGGCAGGGGAACTCAGACTGGGTTTCTCACTGGCAGATGTGGTGCACTTTGACGGTGATGATTCTCCCATGTGTAAGTGGGTGATTCCACAACCCTGGGTTGCCAAAGAGATCCAAAAAGGGCCTATAGGGTGTGTTTCATCCTGCTTCCTTGGTATCAACACTTTTTTCTTCAGAAGGGGGACATCCTGTTCCTTGGCATCGAATTTCGGACAAACCTTGCAGTCATGGCCGGGAGATGAACGTTTTTGGCTTCTGGGGGGGGCACAGCCGACTCATTAGATTTGAAGCTTTCTCGTTTACAACATCGAACACGCCACGTCACATCCGACTCTTTTGACCCGCCAAATGGCCATCAATTGAGAACCTCTTTGAGCCCACGTCGAGTGAAGCTCGACGTAGCCGTCGACCGAGGCGCAACTCCGCGGTGGCATGACCATGGTCAGGCGAGACGCTGGCAGCGGTGGGCGGGGTGGTCGACGAAGCAAGCTGGAAGGGCATTTTGTTTCGAGAAAACGGCAGCAGCTGTCATATATATATATATAACTATAACTATATTATATATGTATATTATATATAGTATTAACAACTATTAATATATATATATATTTCTTTTTTTCCCCGGTTGGTCGCTTTTCCAAACCGCGCAAAGACAACGCAAAACACATTCGGGTTAGCTAGCACCGCTACAAATCTACCAAAGATGTTTTGGATATATCCAACAGTCACACCTTCCAATTTTGGATATATCCAACAGTCACACCTTCCAAGTCAAACATCAATATTCAATCATCTCTTCATCCTCTTTGTCCAACAAAACAACCAGCCTGGCCTCTCACCTCTCCCTCTTCCTTTTTGGCCCATCCACACCTCTCCGTGACCTCGTGGTGACCGAGCTCGGGCGAGGCACTTCGTGGGCTCCGAGATCGCCCGGCGGCGCTCCGGAGCCGCGTCGCCGGCGGCGGTGTCCGTGGTGGACACCGCGGCTCCGGGAGAGGCGCCGGGAGCGCCGGTGTCGGTGGACACCGCGGTGACGACGAGTGCAGAGGAATAGGTGAGGCAGGGGTGGCTGGGAGAAGTGGCTGCTGGATTGGGGGGCGTGTGAAAGGTGAACTTGGACAATCTGATGGAAAGGAATGAGGAAGAAAGGTGATTGGGGGTTGTGCATGTTTGTGCCAGGTGAGGTGTGGAAGCCTTTGGGGGTGATTGAGCTTGTTTGAAGCGAACGTGCTTGAACGCAGAAGAAAGATGAGACCAGTACTGTATATAAATAGAAACGATACAACGTCCTGTTGGCAGCATGAAGTTTTCCGGATGCGTTTGGCCAAGCACGTTGCAGCGTTGGCCAGGGAATTCGACTAGACATCTGACCGGGTGCGTGTTGCGCTTTGGTTTTTTGCCTGAATGGGAGCTCCTGATATGATGGGGATATGACAAGTCAAACAGCAAGGCTCGACCCTCCACAGGCCACAGATCAACAACTTCCCTACTGAACCGATAGACTCCGACAAATCGACATGTGTGTGGAACTCTTAAGTTTGAACAGTAAGTGTAAGTAAGATTAAGTAAGTGCTTGTCAATGCTTTTCCAAACGGAGCTTCAGGTTGGACTAGGTTTCCAGGCTGCAACAACTTCCAGAGGTCACCTTTTTCGCGCATATGTGCATTGTAGAGCATCTAAAAAAGACTCCAACCAATACTAAAAAAGTCCAGCACTTAACTATATTTCACTATCACCAACGTCAGCAAAGAAGAGCCTCAACTTCCACCCTGGTGCCCTGTTGCAAGGCTGCGGCATACTTGTTTCATGGCCCGTGGCAGAAGCTGTGGCGTAGATACATTGACATTAGAAGGCTTCTATCCTGGCCTTTTTCAAAGCTGTGGCATAAATATATGGCTTCAGGCCTGTGGCATAGGGACATGAACATTAAAAGGTGCAGCTTCACCCTACCCTGTTGCAAGCGTGTGGTGTATATGATATATGAAAGGCCGTGGCATAGGACATCAACATTAGAAGGCGTCAACTTCCGCCCTTCCCTGTTGCAAAAATGTGGCATATATGTAAACAGAAAATAACTAAATGAATATATATATATATATATATATATCCTATTCGTTAGCCCGCGATCGACGAGATGTGTCTGATCTCGGAGCTGGGGCCCAGTATCCCGATGGAGCCCGGCTGCATAGGCCCGCTCCTTGAGGCATTCTTCGATGACATGTTTACCTTGGCATTTTTCGATGACATGCCGCACGATGAGATCGCTGACCTCCTATGTATATATATATATATGTGTACGTATAGTTTCGTGGCCTGTGGCAATGGCTGTGGCATAGGAATATTAACATTAGAAGGCGTCAACTTCCGCCCTTCCCTGTTGCAAGGGTATGGCGCGTATGCATAATGTATATATATATACACATGACATGACATACATCTATACATATGTATAGTTTCCTAGCCTGTGGCAAAGGCCGTGGCATAGGTACATTAGCATCAGCAGGCGTCAACATCCACCCTACCCTGTTGCAAGGGCGTGCATATATGCTTATTATTAATTATACGCATACATATATATATATATATCTAGATGTACATGTATAGTTTCCTGGCCTGTGGCGAAGGGGGACATTAACATTAGAAGGTGTCAACTTCCACCCAACGCTGTTGCAAGGGTGTGGCGTATACGTAATGTATATATGTATATATGTCTAGTTTCCCGGTCTGTGGCAAAGGCCGCGGCATAGGTACATTAACATGGAGACGGCGCCTTTGCAAGGGTGTGGCGCATATGTATGAGTGAATATATATATATATATGTGTGTGTATAGTCTAGTTTCCTGGCCTGTGGCAAAGGCCATGGCATAGGGACATTTCCACTAGAACTTACACATGTGTCGCTTTTTTGCAGATCCTTGGCAATGTGACAGCAGACCGACATCGCGTAGCGCGTAAACCGGAGTCCCTCTCAGGAACACGCCGGCCCCGCTCCGCTCATGCTCTCATGCTTTCGTTCATCGTCCTAGACCGGGGTCGGTATATATATATATATATGTATATACTGCGTCTTTGAACATAGCAAACAGACACGCCACAAGACTTTGAGATGCAAACATGTGTTTATTGACCACATTTGGCCACCAGGCTGTAACACCAAATTGTATGCAATCATGGGTCATTCTTTTCAGACATGTTCCCACCCGCTGTGCAGACATAAAAAAGCACTTGTGGTTCATTTTTCCTTTACCCCGTATGACTTTCAGGAGTTTGGCATGGTTGGTAGATGTTCGTAGGAACTTAGCAGGCGTTTTCCTCCAATTCTTAGACTCCGAGAATCTCCCGAAGTGGGCCGCAGAGCATCGGAACATCGCCGAAGGGTTCCGCCGAAGGGTTCGCCCATCTCTTCATTGGTGAGCTCCGTCTGATCATTGGTCAGCACCGTTGGACCCCCCAACGGATCTGAAACGATGGACGAGGTCCATCGCTCGCTGAAGAACTGGGGATGTTGGCCTGGAAACGTCACGGACGAAAACGTGGAAGTAGAATGGCATGATGATGTGAGACGTTTGGGAGAGGACATGGTTTTCTATCCAACATGCTTCCATCTTAGTGAGTTGAAGTGCATGAGTGGAGATGTCAGAATTGGGGGACATCATTTGCTAATAGGACAATCATTTGTTCCAAAAAAGTTTGTCCGTGTAGACTGTTTGGTTTATTTTCGAGGTGTCAATTAGAAATTCAGAAGGTTTTGACCTCACCACCACATTGATCCAAAGGGAAACCCCTCTTTTTCGTTCAGTGGTACGTAGCTCGTAGCTCGAAGGGCCAATCCCTGAAGCAGCGACATCTGCGACATCTGCGCCCACGTCCCGGCACGGCCCTCGATGGACATTTCACCATTGCAGGCCACACGTGCTTAGGGCCCAGCTGCTGATGCCTACTATAGGGTCTTATAGGTCCTGGCAGGAAACGCCATCAGTTTTTGGACACTTCCAAAATCCACAGGTTTGTAGGAACAACAAAAATGAGAATGCTCGGATCATGGCTCACGCCGTAAACCTGGTCGGTCTGGCGACCGTGTCCAGCGGGACAGGCGACCGATGTCTTAAATTCGATTGGCACTGCCTAGCTTGACATTCTGCTGTGCGGCGAAAGTGGAGAAAAGGCCCCGACCTTTCTCGAAAGAGGGCCGTGGACTTGATCAAGTTAATGAACAAGTCAGAAGTCGCGTGGAAGTCTCATAGCTCGTCTTATGGTTCGTCTCAAACTCTCTCTCTCTCTCTCTATAATATACATATACAATGTCTGTAATGTAATGCAATGTAATGTCTGTATGTATGTATGTTACGTTCCAGACGTGTCACCGTTGCAGGCTTGGGCAGGATCGTGCTTCGAAAAACTTGGTCCTCCAAGAGAGTGAGAATTGAACCATGCCCGTCTTCGAGTTCGGTTCGTGTCCCGGTCGTCCCTCATGAAGACTTTCCTTTGCCGCTGGTGTTGATCGCATTGCCAAAGCTGCGGCAACGCAGGACTTTCCAGCACCCTCCGTGGACTTCTCCTTGATGGCGCTTTTGGGCGACGTGGATCTGGCCGTTGCACACTGCAGAGGAGTTGGACTGGCTCGTTGACCGCGTTTGATTGACCAAATGGGACCTCAGGTGGTTATCGAACTCACCATGCGGCGACCGGCGTGTTGAAAACACGAAGTCCTTGGCACGAAGTCCTTGGCATGGTGAACCTGTGATTCTCACGTCTGGCACCAAGATTTGAAGCAGCTGTCAATTGGTGTATTCCAGAAATGCCAGATGTGCTGACAGGACACTTGAACTTCCATCCTGGCCCAGTCCACCTGAACTTTTGCTTCAGGGACCGCAGCAAACGGCAGTTGAGAACTTGTGCTCCCAAAGAATCCTGAGTCTTTTGGCCAGAGATTGGGGGGAACCTTTCTGCGGTTTCTCGTTTGTTGGGGGGTAAAGTGGATGGATGATGATGGATGCTCAGGCTTCAACACGTCAAAGCGCGGAGACCGGGCATCACTGGGCGTCCGCAACGAAGCGGCGACTTTTGCCTCATGCCTCTCCAGGAGAACTTGGCTCCTGATGCTGGACCCGCCATTGTCTGAGTGCAATTGTTTTGGATCTTCTCGCGCAAGCGTGCTTGTTGGTTGGGACCTATCTACCACACGAATCAGATAAAACCATCCAAAGTCTTTCAAAGACACGTGTTGATCTTAACAAATAGAGAACGCCCCTTGTTTCCATGAGGGGAGACCCACACGTGGCATGCGAGTACCACGTATGGCACGCGTTCGCACCCGAGGTGCGAGGCGTTCCTGGTCGGACTTCCGAGTGGGACAAGGCGCCCGTCGATTCCAGGGTCCAACGTCGAACGGACAGAGGGGTCATAGAGAGCCTTGGTCTTTTAGATCTGTGAAGAAGAGTCCTATGGAAATTCACACGAAGATGTCTTTATAGGTGTTGTAAAACACATATAATATAATATATATATGTATATTACGTATATAATATATATATATATATATATTATTTTTAGTTTTCCGGTTTCTGTTCTTCCTCCTCCGTCTTTCTGTTGTGCATCCCACTGTGCTGCAAAGATGTCCTCCAGCTGCATCGCCGCAGGCCCTCTCACCCACCAGGCCCCCAACCTTCCCAGCGGCCAGGCCTACGTGGACTGCCCGGCCATGCAGCGCTGGGTGGTCTCATCGGAGCCCCGGAGCCCCTCGGCACCGCGCGTGTCGCGATCGCGCCGCGAAGACCTCGCGATGCCAGCAGACGGCGCAGCGAAACGGGGCGTTTTGGGGTCGGACTTGGACATTTGGACCATTGACCAGTCACTCCCCATTGGTCATTGAAGCACTCATAAGATGCTCGATGGTAGAAACCATGAGTTTCGTTTCCATCGGGTGAAGGCGCGCACGTGAAGGCGCAGCGTCCATCGGAACGTGACGGTCTCGCGGCTCGCGAGCGAGGTCAATACCTAAGCCCTGAAGCACGCTTGCCACCTGGATCGATGATCGAGGCAGTGCGACGCATCGTCTGAGACACCTGGGCGACCGGGTCGTGAAAAACCCACCATGTTCACCATGTTCACCCCGCCAGTCTACCAGTCCACCACGGTGTCCGAGTCCACCAGGAGTGTTACCGTCGAAGGGTGCCCTGAGACTTGGTCTCCTGGTGGTTTTGACACACAGGCCTTTGTCTCTCAGTGGAAGCCATCGCCCACAAGCCGTGCAGTTTCGGAAGTGGCCCCCAAACAGGTGAACTGGAGATCGCCGTGTTTCTCATTTTTAAGACGCTCAGCCAGTTGAAGCACTGGATTACTCTGCCATCATCCGTTTATGGCTGCGATTGCTCTGGTTTTCTTTGAATGGAGAGTCGATCGCTTGAAAATCATTGACTACCTGCAGGAGTTGGTGGCACTGGCCAATCGCCAAGCTCGCATCCTCGTTCTAGTTCCTTGGCCGAATGTGAGCTTTACATTGGTTTTCAGAGATGTTGGCCAAGTGCCTCGACACGATGCTGCCACAGATCAGATGCTGCCGTGCCGCCACGTGTCGTGGTTGTCCAATCAGACGTTCTTCTCGTCCAGACCAAGGTTGGCACCTTGAAAACGTCGGACGAGGTCTTGTTAGCAGAGGATATTGCTGCCAGACTTGGTGGAGCAGCCAGGGAGCCAAGTGGAGATTATAAGATGAAGTCGTCGCAGGAGTTGTGAGGAGCTTTCTGAAACAAGGGCTGGGTGTGACACATGGGAACGGGGAAAGCAGACTTGGCCAGCAATCACGATAAAGGAGTCATTTACTAATTTAATCTAATTTATGCAATTTATCTTCATTCATACATATATATAGTTTTTGTTCTATTTATGACACATGCCAGATCGTTGGAGAAAGTACGTCCCCCTCCCCACAAGTGTGCCACCCAACTGCCGTAGACGCCGGTCTGACCGGTCGATCACTCCGTTCTCGCGGTCGGACCTCGCGGTCGCGCCCAGCGGTGCCAACGACAGGTCTTTGCAGATATCACCTCTGGTTTGCGCCAGCGGCCACGAACCGTGCACTTCTCGGATCAGCTCATGCGACTTGGGCACCGTTTTCGGAGACACCCTCGTCTCCACCGGCGGGGTTGTTGGGTGGTCGGGTTTTCGTCCGCGTCGATCTGATCGGTCCGGTCCGTTGGGAAGCGGAAAGGGGAGATTGCGGTGGTCTACACTTGACTGGAAGCTGTAGGAAATCAGCTGGTACCGAATGAACCAGACAGCGCACGCAGCGCACGCAGCGCACGCACAGCGCACAAGCAGAACTATGGTCAGGGTGCTTTCAAGCGATGTTAGGGTCAGCGAAAAAGATGGTCAACCCACCATGCACAACCCAGTCGTTGCGTCGCCGCATGAACTAGATGTTCACCGAAAAACGTATATCAGTTTATATCAGTTTGTTCAGGCTTGGGCTTGATCCCCCAAAAAACACTCCTCTCACTGTGCACCGCCTCGTCACACGACCGGTGACCGGTGCTCGCCTCGTTGGATCGCTGACTCTGTTGCATCCGCCCACCATCAGCACACATACAAAAAGAAACTGGTGAGACAACGCAAAGACCCCCAACTCCCAACTCTGTCAGAGTTGATGACTTCATCGATTCGGGATTTTGCAATTCCTGAGACACACCCAAGGCCGTTCGTGGTTTGTTCATTTACTGAAGCTCAACGAACTGTTGGTTTCCTGCTACCCAAGGAACTCTGAGCTGCTATCTGGAGAGCTACTTCAACTTGATGCGGTCAGACCGCCAGTTTCGTCGGTCCGGAATTCGAGTCGTTGGAAGCTGAACGACGAACGACGGTGGTTTGAGGAGGGAGGATCTCTAAGTGAGGAAGTTGCGGACATCCTGAGAGTAGTTCGAAAGATATTGAGACTTCAGTTTGAACAGATCCTCGATTCTTCCGACCACAGAGCTTCCGATCGGGCTCAAGAAAAAGGTGTCTTTCCCTGGGCCCCCCAACTCGCGAAGACAGTGTTGGGGACGAACATAGAACATCCAAGAACCAGCGAAGCGGAAGATCGCCCGCCTGCTACGCTCGGTACTCCTCAGATCGTCCACCTGGGTGGGCCCTTGACCTCTGCGCGGCACAACTCCGTGGCCAAGGCGTGAGCTGGAGGGACCAGGTCGGACCAGGTGATGATGTGGAGAAGATCTTAGATGCAAGACATGGGGAGAATGGGGTGACATGCACCTCAGGTTTGAGGCAGGCAAGTTGTTGGGGTTGGAAAGATCCACCGAGATCCAATTGGTAGGATAAAACAGACTGAGTAAGAAGAAGCTCTGCTGTAATATCATCGATGTTCCATTTGGGATGGGACTGCTCCTGTGCATTTTCCATGTGCGGCCCCCGGCCCTTCAAAAAGGGCATTTCTCAGCATGTTGCTTATAATGTCATTTCATTCGCAACTCTTGAATCATGTGGACTACTGTGTCAACCTGGCTCGCAGCATTTTGCCCAGCAAAAGTGATTTGGCTCTTAAAGGATGTCTGGCCGCCAGGAATCACAGCTTGTCTGCCTAGGGTGGTCATTGAGGCGGCAATCTAATTATTTGGACATCATTGAGAAGCCATCGGTGCCTGAGGATGAGTGGGCGATCAAGTGCTACACCAGCAATGGTTACTACGGTGAACTCAACTATGCCCTTCGAGCGGACGACAGCTTTTTGTTGCGGAAGCATGCCCGCTTGATCAACTGCCTGCGCCATTGTGTGCGCTCACACAATGAGCGCTACAGAGTCTACCGGGGAGTCCAGCTTCCAAGTTCCGAACATGAGTTCTACCAAGTGGGCAAGCTCTTCCTATGGCCCGGATTTACGTCTGCAAGTCGTTCTGAGGTCACGGCCATGGCCTTTGGGAGCTGGGGCGGTGGCCAGGGCAATACAGTTCTCTTCAAGATTGAGCTGGGGCTGGGCTCTGGCTGTACGTACTCACGGGACATCTCACATATGTCGAACTATCCCAGCGAGCAGGAAGTCCTGCTCTATTGTTACTCGGGCTTCAAGGTGACCTCGCGGAAATGGATAGGCACCCGACTTGACATCGGACTTGTGCCCCATGACACGCTTCGAGCGTTGAGAGTTGAGAAGCACTCCTGGAGCCGTGGAGTTGCTTTCTTTCAGAGTCTGAAACCACTTCAAGCGTTCCGAGTCGGTCCAAGTAGGTCGATCTAGGGCGACATAGCCCTTGTCCGAGTAGCGCAGGGGAGACATCGCATCGTGCACAGTGCCGCTTTGGATGTCTTCCCGGAGTGTACAGTTCACCCGCGACGCGAGGGGGGGTATTTTGCGACTGCCGTGTATAGTGAGATGCGAGGTTCGATACTACCATGTAGTAGTCATTTTTGTGGCAGTCCGGCCATTTGAGGGACAGTGTCCAAGACCTTCCCCCATCTGAGGGTGTCCAAAAGATCCGGGCTATGACAGGGGATGAGGGCTATGAGGGGCATCGGAGATCCTGATCGCACCGATCCAAGGACCTGATGTAAGTACCGATAGGTTTGGAACAGCTCAGCAAGCATCTTGAAGCCCCCATGGTCCAAGGAGGAGCGGTTTTTCTTTCGTTTGGATCTCCCCCCCCAAGTCCGACCCTTGGAACGAGGCTGCAGGACAGTTCAGAGAGAGGGGGCCGCCTGGCTCTGGGGGAGGGGAGGGGGGTCACGAACCGGGGTCACGTTCGTTCGAGTCGAGTTCTCCCCGTCGAGCTCGGCGCAGGCGGGCGCTCCGCTCTACGTGCGCGTGGTGGCGACCTGAGCTGGATCGATGATCGATGTGGAGAAAGACGGGGAGACGGGGAGATGAGTGAAGTAGGTGACTGAAGTGTCTCTCAGTGCGGAAGTTCGACAGAGCTTGGACGCAAAATTATGGATTTTCTCCAACAAATATCCAAAGATCAGCAAGATTCAGCAAGTGAGTTCCACGATCCAAGTCCTCAGTTTCACCGGACAGCTCCACGTTTTCACCGACTATAGCCGACCTCAGATCTGTGGAGCTCCCTCGCCAGGCGACGGCTCCAGTGCGCATGGACCAGGCGAGCGCGACGCGGCGAGCAGTCGGCACGCGCCGTCGGCACGGTGCAGTCGGCACGTGCGTGGTGAACGAAGGGGACCTCCCTGCGCCCCCGGCTGGGTGGACTGGGGTCTGTGGACTGGTTCTGTTTTGGGTTGAACCGCTTGCACATACACATCCCTGACACACAAACCCATGTTTCCTTCCTCTATTGCTTTTGTGAGGATCATGTGGTGACTCATCATTTGCCATGCTGCTTAGCAGCTCTTTCAGAAGCTCTGGCGGAAGTCGGCGCCTCATGCGAGTGATGCGAGTCATATGTACCTGGATGCACCAGGAGAAAACCTCGGTTGCACCGTGCCTCACACGATGAGTTTGCAGTAATTCCATGTAGTTCTTTTTCGATGTCATCCAACGATGAGTTTCACTGCTTGGTAGTCGCTGCAGTCTTCTTCCACATCCAAGGCTTCCTTAGAACCCAAATCTCCCAGTTCCTTCTGGAAGAGGCCTGGAAGAACGACGATTTGATCTCTTCATGCCTCCCCCATTGAGCTGTTCACATGCTTATACCTGCTGTCAGCTTGGTGTTTGCCTTTGTTTTGAAGGCTTTCAGTTGCTGCATCTGGTAGCATCGATAGGCGCAGTCGGCGTTCGCCGCCCCTTTTGTGAACACAGTGAATGGACTGTCAAAGTACAGGCAGAATTGAATATTACTGAGAGAACTAAGTGAACATCTGGAACTATGTGAGTCCTTGTTGATATCAACATGATGTATGATCTATATATGTATTTTTTTGCCAGCCAGCCTGTGATGTTGGAATCATTGGTGATTCTGACATGTTGAGATTTGTCGTTGCCTGCCAGGTGCTTGAGTGGCAGTTTTAGCGAGCCTGTGGTGGCCAGAAGCCCACTTCATGGCGTGTGTGGATACTGAATGCTATTGAAGCTGCAGACCAGTGGAGGATTCTTATACTGGCCAACGCTGTCCCCACAACAGTCCACAATTCTGGAACCCAAGCAAGTCGGATGCCAACAGCAACCTTCGAATGAAACCATAAAAATTTGCTGGACATGTATACATCACCTGAGGCGCAAACGGTGTCCCGGCTACTGACGCCTAGTGGCCGACTGCTGATCTCAAGGTGGAATGGGTTTAGACTTCAATGAGAACATGGGCGTGGACGTTTGTGCATGCTTCCTTGGGATTGGGATGATCTGGGATGTGGAAGGGAGGCCCTGGCAGGTTGAGTTAGTACATTTTATGATATGACGATTTGATTTAGCAATTGGTGTAGAATTTCAATTGGAATGAATGCCGATTTGATAAAATTTATATCGCAAAGTGCACGTGAATGCTCTGTTGGGGATCGGCCAGTTCGATGCCAATCCGTGACCTGGACTTCTTCTCGAAGCCCTACACCGATTTTTGGCAAGCGACAGACTCAGGATGAGACATGACACTTTTGGTGAGACGAACGAAGCTGATGATGCCAGTATATGCCAAGTTTCTCCATCTATAAATCATGCCAGTTTGGAAGTTGAACATGGTGTGATACGGCGAGGATCGTTGCATGTGTTCAACAGTGTTTTTCTTTTTTCTTTTAAATCCGACGTGTGGGTGTTGAGATGATCATACACTTCACGGCCTCCTTGGACAGTCTAAGATGGAACCCGTGGAGACCGAAAACACATGCCCTAAGAATCCGTACTGGCCCTCCATGGCAAGGGTCCGGGCCCTGAAAACCCTCTTTGTTGCTTCGGGCCCGATTCTTAAGGTGGAAGAGTCTTTTCCAGGAACCAGTGGTTGTGGGGTAGATTTGCCTGGTTTGCTGCTTCTTTGCTGATGCTTCATGGGTCTATTGGAGGCACCAGTACAGCCGCCCATGGCCAATCGAGGAGCTTCAGGTCATACACGGGAATTGATTGGATGCCATGCATGGCTTGCTCGGAATCTGCACTTCTTGACTCCTGCAGTTCAATTTAGAGACACACAAGAAGCCATCGACCATAAGCGCAACGATAGGCAAACAACCTGATACTTGGCAAAGGAAGAACGCTGCAGAACCTGTTTGTGCCATCCACTTCCGAATCCTTTTCAAACCGTGGCTCCTGGCCTTACTACTAGGAGCTTTCGGAGCTGTCGATCCACCGAAACCGATGTCCGCTGTCGACCTCGACCTCGACCGCTCGCCCCGATGTCCCGCCGTCGCCTCCGGAGGCATCGATGGAGTGATCAGCACCGCAGCGGGCATTTGCGCAGCGAGCAAGGTCGACCGGTCCGTCACGGTCTTGGGCGCGGGCCATCCGGTCGGGTCGAAGTCGGGAACGGCGAAACCAGGACCCTCCTGGACCGGGGTGCCCTGTCTGGAAGCCGAACGGCCGGTAGTGTGGGGTAGTCCAGCCAGGACACCCAGGTCCAGGAAGGTCCTGGAAGGTACTGTTGGTTCCCCAAGAATCTGGGCCGCAACAAGGTGTCGAGTTTTGAGGTGTTTTGAGGGCGACCCCTGCGAAGGTGTCGAGTCCGACCCCTGCCATGGAGGGCACGAGCTCGGATTCTTAAGGTTGTGGACAATGAGTTCCACTGTGCCTATCGGTGCCTATTATTTTGGAGCGATTCTGGTATTCTTCTGCAGAACAAAGCATGAACTTTGAAGCCAATTCGGTGACCATCTGGCGGTGACCTAACATAGCTGGTGTCTTCTTCAAGACCCTCCGTCTTGGGAGAACGCACAGGTGCCCTGCACCCTGGTCATTGGAGATGCCTCTTGGCAGATGGGGCGATTCGTTTTTCAGCTTCAAAGTGCAACGCTTCACCTGGTGAAGCAGGCGATTTTTGTTGGAGACTTCTTTAGACCGAGTCAACTTCAGGAGTTCTTCTGAGGGTGTCGCTCTCCCCGGGTCGTTCGTGTCATCTCAAACGTGAGCCAACGCTCCGCCGGTGGCGCTGAACGAACGCCGGTGGCGCACAACTCGGCTCTTTCGCGGCGCGACGGCGTGGGGCCACGTGGTCGGCCGGGCATTGAGGTGGCCACGCTACAAGATCTGAATGCCTTTCAGCTTTTGGGGACTGAGGCCAGGAGATGAGTGCCAGTCTTTTTGGGGGCTTCTCTGGCGGAGAGGACACGAGAGCTGCAAGCTGATGACAACTTGTAAGCCATAGACTACAATGGTTTCAGACTAGATGTAGATGGCACAACCCCCAAGGTGTCTTTTTGATGGGGGTCGTCATATAAACCATCTTTTGGGGATTGTGCCATCTACTCTCAATCCACTATTCTCATACGTCTTCCAAGATCATATTGATCAATGCTGTCTTTGTGCGACAGGCTCCTGCCCTGACCGTGGTCCTCATCAACAATGGTGGAGGTGGGACTGTGAAAGATGTCGATAACAAAATACAAATGTTACTGATTGTTACTGTAACAGCATATAAGTAGCACAGGATTTCTCCCATCAACAGGAGCATCTCAAGGGAAAAACCATGAACAACCGAAAAACGTTTTTGTGAATTCGTCGCCCTCATCAAGAATGAGTCACCAACAACATCACCCCTTAGCTCTAGGAACCGTTCCTTTCCGTCGATTCCCCACGGGAACCGACCTCCATCGACCGCGACGGCGGTACGCGGAAGTCGGAGAGGAGAGGAAGAAGGCGCATCCGACGGGTCGACAGAATGACCGGTCGACGGAACGACAAGACAGGTGGCATTTTCTCCTTCCTGCCCATCAGCAAGCACAAGGACGCAAGGATCCTGGCTTGGGCCAGAGCGGGTGGAAGAACACGGAGGGAGGAGCGTCCGGCAGTCCGAACAAAAAGCCCGCCACTTAAGGACTTAAGGATGATCTGTCAAGAGTTCTCCTCTCAGATGTCGCCTGGTCGCTGGGCCCTGCCGGGCCCGTTCGCCGTTCGCAGTTCCCTTAAGTGAACTTCTCGCGGGCGGGCGGCGGTTCTCGGTTGCGACGATGGAGGACTGACCGACCCGCTACGGACCTTCTCCCGTTGAAGGTGATGTCGCCCTTCTTCAATGAGCCACATGAAGTGGACTTTCAGTCCGTGTGGGGGGCCTCAACGGCAGGGACATGTTCTGTTTTGGTGGACGAAGGAAGGCAGGGAGAAGAGGCGAAGCTTGGGAGCATGCGCCAAACTTGCAGTATCGGAGGCAGTTCTCTTGCTGGGATTTGTTGGAAACCCTTTTACCTATGTCCGACCCTGGAATACTCCGAAGACACATCTCGGAGGTGACCTACCATCTGGGATACAGAGTCAAGAGATCATCCAGAGCTGCTTTGCTTTAATTATTCTTGATACATCACAGTTGCTCCACCATGAGGCGGCATCTTCGCATTTTCAGAGGAGTTTCAGATGCTCGGGTGATGGAATCCAGTTTGACCACATGTTGAAACTTTGGAACAGACTTTGGTCCACTCAAAACCCTACTGAGATCTCTAAATCCAACTCTGCGCACCAGGTGCAATGCCTTCAATGTACCTCACGTGCTGTGTACGAGTCTCCAGGACTTCGAGGCTAGGCATGTCAAGGCGAAACACGTGATGGCCTCCAACCTAGTAGATCCTAGTAGCAAAAGGAACCAAATAGCAATGCCTCCAACCTAATAGCGATGGCCTCCAACCTAATAGCTTTTCTGAAGCGTCTTGTCGCGTGTGACTTCGGTTGAATCAGGGCAGCTCAGCTTGGAGAGTCTGCCAGCTGAAGCGTTTGCCGGTCGATGGATGAACATGATTGTCCCGAGTTCCCCAGCTGTTCTCAATGGTCAATAGCCCTAATTGATCCCACTTAGATGATAGCTTCCAGTTGGCATGCTTCACCAGTGCCGACCACCACGCATTATATTATGTCATTTCATCCCCAAAATATCGCCTTGCACCGATTCAATTTCATCATGATCCCAGTCAGCCCCTGTGGTCATCATGCCAGTCTTCCACAGGCGGCCTACGTCACCTCCCAGAGCCAGGGTGGAGGCCTCGTCGGTTTCGTCGGTTGCCCATCGGCAGCAGTGAGCCATTCCCGCCAGAGCAGCTTTCGTCCTGCCTTTTGAGATTTGGCATTGTCAAGCCTTTGAGTTGCGATTTGCAATTGAGTATATGTATATATACCAGGACCCCCTAAGGGGTGTCTATTGATAGCCCCTTAGGGGTTAAGGGGTGTCCATTAACCACCCCTTGTGGGTCCTAGTATATATATATATATATACGTAAAAGTTTTTTTGGTTGTCTTTTTAGATGGACTCCCTGTGTGGGTTCATATTCAGATTCCTTGTCGCGGTTCTTAGAAGTGTTGCGATCAAGCTTGCAGAGGACCAATCTTGATCTTCATGGTGATGGGCCGTACTTGATGGTGAGAATTAGCCAATATTGCGGTTTATCATTGTACGTATTATTTGATACATATGGAGTTCGATGACACAGGATATCCTTTGCATACTGAAGAGGCTTGCGGCGGCACCTTTGCTGTGAGGCAGTGTCATCGAGGTACAACCAGCACTGGACTTTGAGGACACAGCAAGGGTTTTGTTCGGGTCAAACAGGCTGCAAAACATGCTGTTTGTACATGAAATAGCCAGACAAAATGGGTGCCGAAGGATTCATACCTTGCACTCTGGTCTCTCATGACATTTTCTTTTGTTCTGCACAAAGCTGGAGTGTTTCTGCCTTGACAAGGAGAATGTTGCCCTGCACAAGTTGATCGGAAAGGCCTGCTGATACAAATCATATCATGGTGAAGGTGCTCCAAGATGTGTCCTTCACTTTTGCAAGAGAAGTGTTTTTGGCAGGGTCAGGGTCAGGCGGCAAGTTCTGGGGCAACCCACATGATCAGAGCTTCGAGCTCTCACTGACCAGATGAAGAGGGCATCTCAACATCTCAATGTATCTTCAATGAACCCATTTTCTTGTAGAGCGTTCTTGTCATCAAACACGGTAGGTTTCATATTAGGTTTCATATTCAATCTCTTCAATATTCAATTTGCTTGGGCAGGAGCCGACATACTAAACAGTCTCAGCGTCTTCCTTTATAATCGAAGTACAGCTACCAAGCCTGGCCTTCGCTTCGTCGCGACGCGGTCGCGCGGTCGCGGTCGCGGGCAAGGAGGTGGCCCTCACCGTGCGCAAGGAGCTGGTCTCGCAGGTGGGGACCTGTGTGAGGGAGGTCGTGCGCCGAGAGGTCGGGAGTTCCACGGGTTTGGAGCTGCTAAGCGCCGCAGAGCACCCGGACGGGTCTCCAGACTTGAAGCCGAAGACGGAGGCCCCTTTCACCCTCCAAGCACACACACATGGTCAAAAATGCGTGTCCCGTGCGGCTTGTTCACCATTGTTCACCTATTTAACAAGCGGCAGCTTTTCCTCCGGTTTCCTCTGCGAGGTGAGGCTTTCCTGGCGCTTCAGCGCTGGTGAGGTGGGACGTCAAACGTCGGACGCGAGCCGCGAAGCCATGGTTGTTGGCAGAGCAGGTACGTCAGTACGTCGGTACGTTCTAGAACAAACATGAACTTACTATATCATCCCCAGTTGGACTCTTGTGTTTAGAAGGGAAGAATAGAGAGTCAACTTCTTGCGTCCGGGAGTCTCTCTCTCTCTCTCTCTCTGGATTCCTTTCCCAAAGAGTGTACGGAAGACACAAGGAATCTGAGATGCATAGGTCAAATGTTTGTCTACTCTTCCTCCATGTCAGATGAGTACAAAAACGGAATTGGCTTTCAGAGGATCCAACCCGCTTCCTCAGCACGTCTTCTTTAATCCGCGCGGTCTCCTCCCCTTCCGTCTTGGCGCCACCCCCACCGCCAGGATCCGGCGCGTCCGGTGCTGGTTCTGCTGCACGGCTGGATGGGAGAGAAGGTGCGCCGGAGGGAACACCGCGGGGCTCGGTCCAGACCGTCCGGACCAAGAGAACGCGGGGTCCGGAGACACCAATAGGTGCAAGTAGATGAGCCCAGCGAACGGTATTCAAAGTGATTTTCGTGAGCCATCCACTTGTTGGGAAAACGATGTCCGGGACCGTGACGTACTACACCACACTGCTCGTTTGCTTTTTTGACACTTTGATGACCGGTAAATGGACTCAGGCGTGATGCAATCTTTACGCGTATCCACACCACAAGTATCCACAAGTCGCACCAAGAGAACTAAATGTCAAGAATTTGCCAAGCATGCAAGTGCTGACATGCCAACTATCTTCAAACATGTTGCCATCATCCACATGTGATTTCTCAAGATTGAAACTTGAGCAAGAAGACCAAGATATTGTGCAAACATGTGCAAACACAAACATAGCAAATTTGATATCGAAGCTAGTAAAACAAGTTGCAATGGGAAGTGAACCGAAGCAAGACAACTTACATTACAACAACTACTCGTTTGTTGGAACCTTGTTTCAGTTTCGTTCTGTGGCCTACATGGGGTTTGCATCAACTACGCATTCTTTTGGTTTGCTGGGTGAACTAGCTCAACGGCCGAACTGTGCGTTCGTGAAGGCTGTCCTTCATAGGTTTGTCAAAATTGAACTAGAGCAGCTAGATGGCAGCACAGGCATGTCTTGATAGACCATGAAGACGGTCTATGTAAGACTTGTTTGGATGGTCAGAACTAAACACCCCAATTCTAGCGCTTTGGAGATAGAAACAATGATGAACAACATTCACCACCACCTGACAAACATTGGGACATGTCATTTTTCAAGTCTCGTTCCCATCACTGGAGTATCTATTTGTGAGATTTGTTGGGAATGACAGTTCTGGATCCAGATATTAGCAGAGCACCCTGAACACCCACCCCTGTGCGATCTGCGCTGCGCCGCTGCGCTGCGCCATCTGCGCGGCTCCTGCCTGCGGGTTCCGGCACCACGCAGGCCGATTGGTGGCCCGTGAGCCACATCCTGGAGGCGAACGCTGCCCGAGGTCAAAAAGTGGAAAACAGGTGACTCTTCCCTCAGTGCCATGCCAGCGCAACACGCGAAGGCCCCCAAGCAAGCTCATCTTCCATTTTTGGTTGGCATATATGTTGACATGGATCGAGATCATGCACACGTCCCACACAGATATCCAAAAGCACCTCGATATCCTCTATCTGTTCCGTTTGGAAGAGTCCTTTTGGCCGGTTGCCAAGACCCACCTAGAGAAGATGGACGCTTCCTTCATGACCGCACACCAGATATTGTATTGTTTTCGTGTCCCTTCGCCAAAAATATGGGGAGCTGCATGCCATTCGGTCCCTGGTTTTCTTTGATTTCTTCAAAGGCAAGCTGGGCCCACAGTGTCTAGGTCTGTGGTTTTCTCCATTTCCTGGTGCCTTTTCCATCCTGGCCAGGAGCAACATCTGGGCTTCTTGGCCATCGACTTACCTGGTCATGGGGAAACCCAGGTGAGACTTGCCGGATGTCTTTTTGCCAGAAAAAAAGAGCGGATGTCAACAAGCCGTGGAATGAAGAAGAGATCTAGACTTACCAGCAGTCACATGTCGGGGTGCCGAACGAACGGAGGAAGTCGGAGTGCCCCTGTCACATCCACTCACTGGATGGGACTAAAAACCATCCCGACATGTGACTGCTGGTAGGTGTTTCTGAACCCAACGGTTCTCAACGCTTCGCCCAGTGGATGCCAGGTTCCTGATGGATCCTGGGAGGCCCAGACCGTAAGGGGGTTCAATCGAAAACGTCCCCATGGCGATGTCCAGTCTTAAGCCTGGAATGCTTAGTAGTTCCCAACAGGCACAATGAGAATATCAGTGGATTTCTAATTGCATATTCACTTGCCCTCGACGGGCTGAGAGCATTTTTTTCATCCGTCAGAGAGGACTCGCCAGAGAATTCCAACACGCAAGCGGTCACAGGAAGCAGCCTTCTACAACATGCCAATGATCGTTGAGGCCTCTGAATCTTTGTGCCGCTTTGTTTGAGTGTCTCCAGCGGATTGTAGAGATCCCAAAATAGATAGACATAATTCCAATACATTTTGAATGCATGTTACTTTTCTATTTACTTCGGGATTGCTATATGTGGTGTTGAGTATGCTTCCCCCTCACTGGACTGTTCTCTTCATGTCCAGGTCTGCTTTAATTGGACGGGTCACCGGTGGTGACACCGGTAGCACGACAAGGGGTCAGAAACTCCCACGATGGCGTCTGGATTCTGGAAGACCCTGAGCCATCAGATATCAGATCATTGACCTTCGTCGCCTTCAACCCGGTCCAGGAAGTAGGGGACTAACAGAAACACTTCACTGGAGACGACTACGGACTTCAAGTCTGCTCGAAAAGGTTTTGAAACCTGGGGGAGTGCCCATGGCTTCGTTTCATGGTGTCGTTTCATTACCCTGGAAGTTGAAGGCCTTTAAACAATGGTGGACCTGGTGTTGCAGCATCAAATCCTTAGTAAGACAATGGTGCTTCGGTAAACACCTATTAAGCAAATGGCGGTCGGAAGCCGAAACGAGCGAGCTTCGTCACACCTTGTTCGCGCCGTCGGTTCGGTCCAGGGGAGGGTCACGGGGACGCATCCGAAATCGGTTGCGCAACATGCGATTTAGAAGGTTACAGAAGGTTGGTCTTGGATGGTCTTGGACCGTAGACCTTCTAA